CCCCAATGGGGGCCGACAGTACGCGTGTCGTCGCCGCCACGCTGCAAGTGTGCAACAACACGTCCGATAGCGACCCGTAGAAGGCCAACTACAGTAATAGCAATCCAATGGCCCCGTAGGTCGTAGTCGGCTGTATGTTGCTTTTGCTTGTGCGGTGACGTTGCCGTCAGCTTGAGTGGGGGTGGAGCCGTCACAGTGTCGTATCGCATGTTGCCATGCATCGTACCCTCGAAGAAATTACCAAGTAGAGTGGGTGGGTGGACTTCAGGGGTGTAGTAGCGCAGGAAGGAAGGACTCAAGTAGGATACCTCCGCGTGGGCAGAGGCATCACTGCAAGTGTCCTTGCGATTGTGCGTATGTATGTACGTTCTTCCGCGCAGAGCAGCTGCCGCACCCTGATGCTCCGCCATGTCGGTAGTCCACCAGATAGTGCCGTGGATGGTGAGGAGTAGAGCGACAGCTGTCCTCCACAGGACAGCTGCGCTACCAAGTTTGAAGGAGGTCGGGAGGCCCAACCAGATGCTTCGCCTCAGGCGAAACCTATATCCAACTCCGCTATACCGTAGTAGCGCTAATCCCAGGAGCAGGAGTCGCGGGAGCGACGAGCCATGTCAGGCGAATCTGTTTCCGGTCTCAATGGCAAATAGTGTGCCTCGAGATGAGGCGCAATCATTTCTTGGCGGCCGGCCGTTTGAGTACAAACGGACGCGGACAAACGCTCGCTACTTCTCGTCTTTTGCCCAACCTCCTTTAGAACCCATCATCATCACAATTACCAACATCAGCACCACCACAATCATCATCACCATCACCAGCGTCATCGTCATCATCATGATCCTCCTCATCATCATCAACATCATCACCATCAGCATCATCATGTCGCCCCGTTACCACCGCCCCTTCTCCCCCCAGCATCACATTCATCCTCCTCCTCCTCTAATCCATCTTCCCCTCCTCCTCATCCTCCTCCTCCCCCATCCCCGTTCCTTCTGAACAACTCCTCGTTGTCGCACAACCAGGCGTGACAGTGGGACGGACCAAGCGATTCGCATGCGACCTCCTCAGAATGCATGTCCCTGAGGACCGGATTTCCGTAGCAAGTACACGGGAAACGGGAAGGTTACGTTCATGTGGCTATCGCGCCCCGCACCTCGCGTATTCGCCGCACAGGCGTCCAACCATAAAAACGGACGGAGGGTGGGGCAGTCTCAAAACGTGGCTCTCATCATAGCGTCGTGCGCATCTGTCTCAGGCTTGTCCAACCACTACAATTAAGGACGAAATGCAGGAAGGAGCGCGAGCGTGGTTGTTCAATATGTGGTTATCGCCGTGGCGCCGCGAACACTTCGAAGCAATACAAGTCGTGAGGGTGGATTGGCTTCAAAATCTTGGTCTCGTCTTAGCGCGACGAACCTTGGTCGCCAAAAACCTCCAATAGGTACGAGGATGGAGGGCATATACGTTTCAAACAGGGACTGTCGCTTGGCGCATCGTCAACTTTCAGTGCCAGAAGTAGATTGTGTTATAGAGTCACGGGTGGAGGGTGGCCCCCTTTCAAAATGGTGCGACCGATTGAGACACACTATTTCTATATGACCACCAGCGTCAACATGACCGACTACCCGAGACGTGCCCAACCCCTTCTCCACGCGAGGCGAATATCGAAGAGAGACATCGCCAGACATACACGATCAGCGCTGGCCTCATCTCCGGCGCGCCTCCCAGGAGCCAACGTAAATGGCGACATTTGCGCAATTCGCAACCTCCAAAGGAGCCGCGAGGTCTCGACCGGATCCGCGTGACCCCCAACTCCGCTGGACCTCCCAGGAGCCCGCGAAAGTGGCAACAGTTGCGCACTTCGCAGCACCACAAGGACCAGCGAGGTCTCAAATGGGCCCGCGTGACCCCAGACCCCGCTAGACCTCCCAGGAGCCCACGAAGGTGACGGTTGCGCAGTCCGCAGACACCAAGGGAGCAGCGAGGTGTGGCTCCAGACTCCGCTGGATCTCCCAGGAGCAACGATGTCCCGTCTGAGTCTGCGTGGCACCCGACTCCCGTGGACCTCCCAGGAGCCCAACGACAGTAGTGACGGTTGCGCAAATCGTAACCACCGAAGGCGACAAGCGAGGTACCGTCTGGGTCCGCGCGGCCACCGTGCCTCCCAGGAGCCCCCGACACTGGCGACTGTTGCACAGTCCAGAGCCACCCAAGGAGCAGCCAGGTCCCGTCTGGGTCCGCGTGGCCCCCTTCTTCGCTGGACCTGGCAGGAGCCCGCGAAAGTGGGTGACAATTGCGCAGGTCGCAATCACCCAAGGACCAGCGAGGTCCCGTCTGGGCTCGCGTGGCTCCAGACTTCGCTGGACCTGCCAGGAACCCGCGAAAGTGGTGACAGTTGCGCAGTTCGCAGCCCTCCATGGGGGCAGCGAGGTCCCGTCTGGGTCCGCGAGGCCCCCCTCTCCGCTGGACCTCCCAAGAGCCCACGAAAATGGTGACGCTTGCGCAACCCGCAGCCCCCCAAGGAGCTGCGAGGTACCGTCTGGATCCGCGTGGCTCTCGATTCCGCTGGACTTGCCAGGAGCCCGCGAAAACGGTGACATGTGCGCAGTTCGCAACCACCCAGGGAGCAGCCAGGTCCCGTCTGGGTCCGCGTAGCACCCGACCCCGCTGGACCTGGCAGGAACCCCCGAAAGTGGCGACAATTGCGCAGTTCGCCGCCACCCAAGGAGCAGCGAGGTCCCGTCTGGGTCAGCGTGGCCCCAGACTCTGCCGTGGACCTCCCAGGAGCCTACGAAATGGCGCCAATTACGCATCTCGCAATCCCCCAGGGAGCCGCGAGGTCTCGGCTGGATGCGCGTATTCCGCTACTCCGCCGTGCCTCCCAGGAGCCCACGAGAGTAACGACAATTGCACAAGTCGCGGCCTCCCAAAGACGAGGAGCGAGGTCCCAGGTACGCCGCTACTCCGCCGTGCCTCCCAGGAGCTCACGAAAAGGGTGACGGTTGCTCGGTTCGCATCCACCCAGGGACCTGGGAGGTTCCGCCTGGATACGCGTACTCCGCTTCTCCCCCTTGCCTCCCATGAGCCCGCGAAAGTGGCGACGGTTTCGTAGGTCGCAGCCACCCAGGGAGCAACATAGGATGGGGAGGCAGACGGCAGGACGAGGGAGGCAGGGAGGAAAAGGAAGGCGGGCGAAGGTGGAGACCACAATGCTCCACGCATTCAAAACGAAGAACTGCACTGGTGCATGTCGGCCCTTATTCATCGGACTCTCGCGCGACATCCCCTGTGTACGTCAACCCTACCCGGTGACACTTCTGATAGATAGAAACATGGATGGCTGATTATTGGGACCTTTGCCGCCGACCCTGGGTGACCCTGGACGATGATGCCCTCATATGTAACAGATGACGCACTTCGTTAGAGGTTCTGCATTGGCACCTGGACTCGGACTGTGGTGTTTCGCCTACGGAGCTTGGTGTCCCCGTCGACGGTCTGGGGGGACTGGGACCGCCGTCAAGATTGCTCCCAGGATCTCCCCCCCTCCCCTGGCAAGGGAGCGATCAAAGTGAAGGGGCGTCTGGTCGTCGTACCTGCCCCCCCCCCGCCCCCCACCCCTCGGGACCCCTCCTGGGACCGCCCGCTTCCCTCCGGCGGGGGAAGGATGAAAAAGAAGGGGCTTCCTTTCGATTCAGTTACGGTTTGTTCAATTCCAGTGCCCAGAACCGCCCCAGGGAGGCCGTCGCATCTGACCCCTCCCACCCCAGGACCCCCCCTCGGGCCCCCCTCCGCCCCAGCGGGGGAAGGATCGAAGGGAAGGGGCTTCCTTCCGACTCCACTACGACGCTCATCAAATTTACTGCCTGGAGGTCGTCGTATCTGCCCCCTCAGGCGGACCCCCCCTCCCCCGGCGGGGGAGGGATCAACGGGAGGGGCTTCCCTTCGATTCAGCTACGATGTTGATCACTTGCGCTACGAGGGGCTACTCCCCGAGACCGCCCAGCCTTTGGATGGAGAGCTCGAAGGGCACTTGGAACCTTCTTGGGGCTTCCCTTCGAATGAACTACGACGTTGCTCATTTCCGCTTTGGGTGTGGCTGGCGCGCTGAGTCTGTGCGCGCTGGCCGAGGCGAGGCTGCTGAAAACGGTGAGGGAGGCCGTCGTAGCTTCGCTAGAAGAGGAGAGGCTCGTGAAAACGCCCAAGGAGGCCCTCCTGTCAGTTCAATAATTCAATGACGACATTACTCGATCTCGCTGTGGCTGTCGCTGGCGCGCTGGAGGAGGAGAGCTAAGAATGGAAGGGGGGAGGCATCGATCATGACGAACGAATGACGGAAATGACGACTCGAACGGAGAAGCCCCTCACACACATAACAGGGTCGGCGGATTCTCAACATGAGGATCTCGCTTGAATGGCTGTCCCAGTAAGCTCTCGCTGTTCAAGAGGATCCCCGCAGTGATAATAGCGTTTGCAGGGACATGTGATGAGGGGACGTTGGACGGGCGGGTGAATTGCAGTATCGCTGGTGCACACTGGGTTTACTCTATTATTCCTCCTCCTCATCCTCCTCACTGTCCTGCTCCTCATCATCAGTGCCGTTCTGATCTGCGACATGGTCGCTTGCTCGCTAATCTTCCTCCTGCCCGTATCCATCCTCCTCCAACTCACGCTCCCTCTCTTCATTCCCCGCCTCCTCCCCCTCCTCATTCCCCCCCTCCTCCTCGTACTTCTCCTCTTCATCATCATTCCTCCTCCTCCTTCTCCTTATCCTCCTCCTCCTCCTCGCCCACCCATCCTTCACCCCGCGAGAAAAAGAGACGATGAGGGGCAGGATGCGGATATAGCTAAGGGTGAGAGGCAGGTCTCGGACGAAAAGGAGTGGGAGGGCGTACGGGGACGAGGAGGATAACAGGGAGGACGGCGATGAGCACGAGGACGAGGAGGCGGCGGCAGAGGAGGACGAAGAGGGGCGAGGACGAGAAGACCAGCCGCCACGGAAGGGCCTCGTACTCCAAACGCAGCTTCTGGATCGCGGCCCGCAGCATGTCGCTCTCGCAGTCCACCACCTCTCTTGGGTGTCGACGACCTCCTCCTCATCAGCATCATCACCACTTCTTTTCTCCTTCGCCCCTCCTCGCCTTCCTCTTAGTATTTGTATCCTCCCCTTCCTTATCCGCATCATCATCCACATCATCTTCTTTCGCGCCCTTCGCCCATCCACCTTCCCCTTCACCTCCTCTCGCATCCTTCTTCCTTTTTTGCGAAAAAGCTCCTACTCTGCTACTTGGCCGCCGATCGCCGCCGGATCTGGGACCTCCCGCCCTGCCAGCTTACACAAACGAGCAACGACATCTTGAGCTTCAGCATGGACAGTAGGCCGCCCATGCTGCACAACGCGTGGCGGGAAAATGGTGGGGCGCGCATGCCGCGCGAATAGCCGCAACGTTGCTCTCGCCTCGGCGCCGCGCTCGGTGTGCGGAGAGTCGACATCCCGCCGAGGAGCGGCGCATATTTGTCGCACGCCGCTGCGTCGACGCGCGAGAGGACGAAGATGTAATTCTTGCTCCGGCGCCGCGCAGATTTCGCCTGCAAGCGGCGCTCCCGCCCCGGCGCCGCGCGTATACTCGCGGGCCCCGCGCGAGCGGGCGAATCGTCGCTCTCACCCAGGTTCCGCGCGCACTTCGCTCGGAAAGGGCGTTCCCGCGCGGGCGCGGCGCATGGCTCGTTCGCCGGATCGCATGGGAGCGAAAGCGGCAGCGGGGCCGCGCGAGAGCGGGCCAAGTGCTGGCCTCGCCCAAGCGCCGCGCAGTTTTGAGCGGAAGTGTCAGTGCTGTGTCGGCGCGGCGCGTGCTCTGTCTTCGCCGCGCTCATCGGAAGTTTTGCCACTTCCGCCTCTGCGGGAAAAACACAGTGTGTGGGGGAAAACACACACACACACACACACGCACACGCACACGCACACGCACACACACGCACGCGCGCGCACGCACGCACGCACGCACGCACGCACGCACGCACGCACGCACGCACACACACACACACACACACTGTGGGAAAAACACACACAGTGTTTTGTTGTGGGAAAACGCACACACACACAGTGGGGAAAAAACACCGTGGGAACAAAAACAATGTGGTTTTGTCCCACAGTGCGTTCTTTTTTTCCCACAGTGTGTTTTCCCACAAACTCGCGTAAGTTTCCATTCGCCAGGTCGCCGGAAAGAGGGGCGGCGCGGGAGCGCCTTCCGTTCGCCAGGACGGCACGCATTCCCATCCCAATGTCAGGTTACGCCTCGCTTGATTCACTCGTCACCCCCCTTTTCCCTACACGTTGGTCGGACGAGGTATGTCAAAACACGAAGTCGGAAGGCATTGAAGTAGATCGGGCTCCCGCCCGCCCCCACAAGAGGAAGGGAAAGGAAAAAGCGCTCGATGATTGAAGCAGGAAGGCGCCTAAATTGGGTTGGGATCTGGGTGTCCAGAGATGCCTACTCTCAACGACCGACGGATACTCCTGCTCGTCTGTCTGCTCTTCGCATCTGTCCCATCCTCCTCCCGCTGCTGCTCATCCTCCTCCCCTCCTCTTGCGTATCTGCCGAATCCTTCTCCCTACGCGTTCCCTCGGCCGCCCTCCCCATTCCCCACACCCTTCCCTCCTCCCACACACACACCATTACCTCATTCCTCCCTGCCTTGTCATCCGCTTATCCCTAGTCATCCTTGTGTCTCTGCACGGCTCGTCGTCGTCCTCCCCATCTTCCTCTCGCCCATCCTCTCTCCCACCATCCATCCCTTCTTCCTCCTCCGCCCCCCTCCTCCCCCAAACATCGTTGCCACCATATCTTTCTCTCTATCTCGCTGTCTACATATGTATATATATATATATATATATATATATATATGTCGCTGTCTCTCGCTCTCTCTCTCTCTCTCTCACTCTCTCTCTCTCTCTCTCCCCTCTCTCTTTCCGATGTTTCTCCCTCTCTCTCTATGTCTTGTTATAGATATGTATGTGTATATATATATATATATATATGTGTGTGTGTCCCTCTCGCTCTGTCTACACACAAAAACATATGTGTATATATAGTTTCTCGCTGTTTCCGTGTATCTACGTAATACAGGTTCTCAAAATACATCTGTCACGCTGTCTCCTTGTACCGTTACATCTGCCTCGCTGTCTCTTTTTTTTTTTCTTCTCTCTCTCTCTGTCCGCGCATCTGTCTATATATCTATATACATATATACATATATATATATATATAGACAGATGCGACGCCTCTATTGGACCGACGCCCAATGATGCTCCAGACGCCTCTATTTGGCCTGACGCCGCTATTGGCCTGACGCCCAGTGACGCTCCTGACGCCTCTATTCGGCCTGACGCCTCTATTGGCCTGACGCTTGCTGACGCTCCTGACGCCTCTATTCAGCCCGGCGCCGCTTGTCGGCCGCAGCCGCGAAGGCCTGAATACCTCAAGATTGTGATACTTGGTGAAAACAAACCCTGAAGCCTCAGGGCCATAGGACTCTCAAACAAAGACCCGAGGACTCTGCCATTGAAGGACCACATGACCCTGATACCCAAAGACCCCAACATGTTAGATCCCTAAGAACTCATAAAAAAAAACCAATATGGCTGATAGGGCTCATAAGGCTTATACGGCTCAGAGGGCGACACTGAGCATACAGGGCTGATCGGGCTCATGGAGCCCATAGGGCTCAGAGGGCTCATCGGGCTCATTGGGCTCACAAGTCAGATTTGGCGCATAGAGCCCATGGGGCCTATAGGACTCATAGGGCTCATAGGGATCATCGGGCTCATAGGGCTCATAAGGCTCGTAGGGCTCTATGGCTCGTACGGCTCATGGGGCTCATACGCCTCATTAGGCTCGTAGGGCTCATAGGGCGCATGAGGCTTTCGGGGCTCATAGGGCCCATGGGGCTCGTAGAGCTCGTTGGGCTCATCGGGCTCATACGGTTCATTGAGTTCATCGGGCTCATAGGGCTCGTATGCGACACCTGGCTTGCAGGGCTCATCGCACTCAAGAGGCCCATAGGGCTCGAAGGGCTGGTAGTGCTCATGGGGCTCATAGTATTAATAGGTGTCATTGGTCTCGTATGTGATCATAGGGCTCGTAGGGCTGTAGGGCTCATGGACTGATAGGGCTTCTATGACAAATGGGCCTCACAAGGCTCGCGGTGCTCATAGGTCTCATAGGGCTCGTGGGAGTCGTAGAACCCCATGAGGCTCACAGGTCTTGTAGGGCTCACACGGCGGCACCAGGCTTACAGGGCTCATCGGGCTCATGAGGCCCGCAGGGCTCATAGGGCTCATGGGGCTCATGGGCTCAAGGGAGTCACAGGGCTCGTAGAGCTTGTAGAGATCATGGAGCCTATAGGGCTCATATGGCGCATAGGGCGCATCGGGCTCGTAGTGCTCGTAGGGCTCACAGGGCCGCTCCATAGGGCTCGCACGGCTCAAAGGGCTCATGGGAATCTCGGTGCACAACGGGCTCATAGGGCTCACAGGGCAAATCGGACCCAGAGGGCTCAGTGGGCTCATAAGACGCATTGGGCCCAGGGCTCTCAGGGCTCACATGGTTCATGGGGCTCGGGGGGGGCTCGTAGGGCGCATCGGGCTCATCGGGCTGCTAAGGCTGATAGGGTTTATAGGGCCCACAGGGCTCATAGAGGTCGTAGACCCCACAAGGTTCATAGGCCTCATATGCTCATACACCTCATAGGGCTCATAGAGCTTATAGAGCTCCTCGGGCTCGTCGGGCTCAAAAGGCTCGTAGGGCTCATCGGGCTCGTAGGGCTCATCGGGCTCATGGGGCACATCGGACTCATAGGGCTCATAAAGGCTCATGGGGCAGATGCGCCAGATGGGGCTCGTAGGGCTCGTATAGCGCATGGTGATCACGGGGCTCATAGGGCTCATAGGGCGTACAAGCTCCAGAGGGCGCATAAGGCTCATATGGCTCATACACCTAATCGGGCTCGTAGGGCTCATAGGGCCCATGGGGCTCGTAGGGCTCATAGAGGTCATAGGACTCATCGGGCCCATAGGGCATATAAGGCTCGTAGGGATCGTAGGGCCCGCAGGGCTCGTAAGGCTCATGGGGCTCATTCGGCTCAGAAAGCTCATCGGGCGTATGGGGCCCATAGGGCTCCTGGGCTCAAAGGGTTCATAGGGCTCGGGGGAGCTCCCTATGGGGCGACGAAGAGCCGTACTGGGTGGCGCGGGGCGCATGTGATCACAACCGCCACGGGGTTGAGCTCGCTATGAGGCCACGAAGCGCCGTACTGTGTTGCGCGGGACGCAGGTGATCACAACCACTGTGGCCTTCGGTGGAGATCCTCGTCGGGCCACGAAACGCCGTACTGGGCGGGGCGGGACGCATGCGATCACACCCACTATTGCCTTCGGTGCAGCTCGCTATGTGGCCACGAAGCGCCGTACTGGGTGGCGCGGGACGCATCTGATCACATCCGCTAGAGCCGTCGGTGGAGCTCCCTATGGGGCCACGAACCGCCTTATTGGGTGGCGCGGGGTGCATGAGATCACAGCCACCATGGCTCCTTCGGTGGCGCTCCCTGTGAGGCCACGAAGCGACGAACTGGGTGGCGCGGGGCGCATGTGATCACAATCGCTGGGGCCTTCGGTGGAACCCCTTTGATGGGGCCATGCAACTCCGAACTGAGTGGCGCGGGACGCCTGTGATCACAACCACTGGGGCCTTCTTTCTTTGCGACCTCCACGGGGGCCACGAGGCGCCGTACTGGGTGGCGCGGGATGCATGTGATCACATCAATTGGACCCTTCGGGTGAAACGCCCTTTTTGGGGCCACGAAGCGCCGTACTGGGTGGCGCAGGACGCATGTGATCACAGCCGCCAGGGCCTCCAGGGCCACGAAACGCAGTACTGGGTGGCGCGGAACGCATGTAATCGCAGCCACTGGGGTCTTCTTTGCGACCTCCCCGGGGGCCACGAAGCGCCGCACTGGGCTGCGCGGGGCGCATGTGATCACTGCCACTGAAGCCTTCGGTGAAGCTACTGGCGCCACGAAGCGCATTTCCGGGTGGGAGGACGCATGCGAATAGTGCCGCTGGGGCCTTCGGTGCAGCTCCCTACGGGGCCACGAAACGCCGTACTAGGTGGGGGAGACGCATGCGAACATCGCCCCTGGCGCCTTCGGTGGAGCTCCCTGTGGGGCCACGAAAAGTTGCACTGGGTGGGAGAGACGGTTGCGAACACCGCCACTGGGGCCTTCGGTGGGGCCCCCTATGGGGCCACGCAGCGCTGTACTACTTGGCGGGGGAGACGCATGCGAACTCCGCCACTGAAGTCTTCGGTGAAGCTCCGTATGGGGGCCACGAAGCGCCGTACTGGGTGCGCAGGGCAGAGGCAAGGACGGGAGGATGGGAAGGATGGGGCAGTGGGTGGGAGAAGCGGGGCGCTGTCTCTTCAAACCGAATCCCAACACCACAGCTTGGTTGGGAACAAAACCCCTCGCAAACATACCCCACTGGCTGCAAGACATCTTACCTCCTTCAAAATCTCCTCCTCCTCCTCCTCGCCACTTCAGCGTCCCCTTCAAACCACCAGCCCTCGCCCGCCGGAAAGATGCAAAGCAATTGGCTCCTTTTTCGAACCGGGGATCTCGTCTGAGTGGCAGGCCCATAAGGCGACGGTCTTTCGAGGCGTCTTTCAAGGGGATGCCTCTTCAAGGCGGAGGGAAGGCTTGCGGGGGCTCGCGAGGAGGGGGCTTGCTCCTCCTCGCAAGGAAGGCTTGCAGGGACTCGCAAGGGTGGGAGGGTGGTGAGGAGGGACAGCAACGACCACATCCACGAGGATGGGGAGGATGGGACGAAGGCTTGCAGGGCCTCCTCTTCCTCCTTCTCCTCGTACTCCTTGCATCGCTGAAGCATCTTCGGCTGACTCTGGCCCTCCTCCTCGAGATTGTGTTCGTCATCTCTAGGGGGGGTCGGGCCCCCGTGGGGGGGATAACGGTAGTGGTACGACGACGACGACGAGTACGACGAGTACGACGCGTACGACGAGTACGACGACGACGACAACAGACGCCTCAGGCGTCTGGAGGTCCTCCGAGGCCCTCGGAGACAACGACGACGACGACGACGACGACGGCGACGACGGCGACGACGACGACAATAACGATGAGGACGACGAGGACAACGGCGACGACGGCGACGACGACGACAATAACGATGAGGACGACGAGGACAACGGCGACGACGGCGAGGACGACGGCGAGGACGACGACGACGACGACGAGACGGTGACGACACCCGCCTCTAAAAGTGTCCAGAGGTCTCCGCAGGCCTTAGGGAGTCTCCAGAGGCCTCTGGAGGCGTCCAGAGGCCCTCCGAGACCTGTCACCACCACACCATGCATGTGAGCACGGCGCCATACCTGTGGGGATTGGGGGGGCTGCGTTCCCCCCCCCTCCCGTACCTTCATTACCCTTACGGGGGGGAAAGAGGAGGGGGAGGGGAGTGGAGAGGGGGTGGGGTGAAACTCCGTAATGAAAGTTACAGGCTTAATGAATAAATCAATCAACAACTCTCGTACGTGTGTGGCAAGCCCCCCATGTCATCTTGCTGATTCTTGCGAATCGAGGATCACCGACGCTGACCTAGGCAGATTGACGCCAGCCGACTCTCGTCGACGCTAAGTCGACGCTAAGTCGACGCTGATCGGCGTTGAATCGGCGCCTCCCCGTGCACTCCAGAGACAGAACTCTGCGATGACATACAAGGCTCCTTTTGCTACCGAACTCCCCCTCCTCATTGGACATCGAACCTGCAGCTGCCGCCGGCCAGGGCGTCGCAGGCGGGCGCCGTAGCGACAGGCATGCGAAACGTGTGAGACAATCAAAGATAAACGTGTGAGGCAACGGAAGATCAGCCGACACAGCAACATGGCAATGCACACACACAACACAAAATGAATCAAAGTAGAGGAAACGATGTCATGCACAATCGCAAAACCTATTCTCGGGCGATGGCAGAACTGGGTTTAGTGGAACCTGGCTTAGTGATCTGTACCGGGGGCGCTCCCCCGTCCCATTTCCACTAACCGGAACTGCCGCCACCCGAAAAAACACAAGCTACGGCAAACCTGGCTTAGTGATTCTGGCCAAAATTCAAAGGCTCCGGGGCTCTACCACTGACCGGGTCTCCTTACCTGGGGTCCTGGCCATACCCGATACTCAAATGAGAAACATGGGGGAACGTTTCCGTGCACTCCTCCACCTCCACCACCAGCCGGCGCAACCTCCTCCTCCTCCTCCTCCTCCTCCTCCTCCTCCTCCTCCTCCACCTCCTCCACCTCCACCTCCGACACAGCGACATGGCAATGCGCACACACACAACACAAAATGAATCAACGTATAGGAAACGATGTCGTGCACGATCGCAAAGCATACTCAACTGAGAAACATGGGGGAAGGCTTCCGTGCACTCCTCCACCTCCACCCGGGTCCCCTCACCCGGGGTCCTGGCCATACCTGTCCGCTCTCGAGTGTAGTACACGTACTTGCCACGAGCGGGTGAACATTTCACGAAGTGGTCCTCCATGCTGCCTTGTTTTAGAAAATAAAACCTGGCCGTGCACGATACTCAAGTGAGAAGCATGGGGGAACGCTCCCGTGCACTCCTCCACTCCTCCGCCACCAGCCCGCGCGCGCCGGGCGTCGCCGCCCCTCCCTCCGCCAGAGAGGCCAGCACAAGCAGCACGGGCAGAAGTGCTCGGAGATCTCCGCGCGGCCCTCCGAGAAATGATGTGCCTCTTGTTCTCTCTTCGGCTTTGGACACCCGAAATGGGTACCGAAAGAATGGGTACAATGCCCACCAACAAATGCTGCCCCAAACCAACAGCGGCCGCTGTTGGACAGGCGGCCTTCTGTCTCGAATGGACACAGGCCGCGGCGGCGCGGACAGCGAGCCCTGTTCAAAATGAACAGGAACTGCTGTTGGGCATTGTACCCATTCTTTCGGTGCCCATGTCGGGCGTCCAGATCGACCCTCGTTCCGTCACCGCCTGCCGATACAGAGCGTCGATGCCGCCCGCCTCCTCGCACGCTCCTCCCCCTCCCGCTCCTCTCGGGTGGGGCGAAAGGGGGGGGATAGCAAAGGGGGGGGCTTTGAGAATCGGCTCATGCAGCTGATTTTCCCGGCGCCTCCAGGGCGCCGGAGGCGGCTATGCATCGAGGAAGGGGCCCCTCGGTGGGGCCGAAACCAGCTGCATGCAGCAAGTTTCGCCACCCCCCTTTCCCAACCCCCCCCTTTCGTTCTGCCCGATCCTCCCCCTCCGCCCCGCCCTCCTGGGGCCCCGCCAGGAGGAGGAGGAGGAGGAGGAGGAGGAGGAGGAGGAGGAGGAGGAGGAGACGACGGCAGCTCAGGAGCGGGCCCCGGACGCCTCCCAGGGCCCCGCCAGAGGCACTGGCGATCTGAGCCGCGTGCAGCCCAAGGCGACGAGGGGGCCCCCCGAAGGCCAGCTGCCGCTGTCTCACCAGGTGGCGGCCCACGATGCCTGTCGCCACCAACCAGCGATTCTGCTCTAGGAGGCAACTACTGGGAGGTCTTCGTCGGAAGGGCTAAGGAGGATGAAGCCCCATTGGGGGGCTGTTACGCCGGAGTGGGCCTCGGATTAAGCGGGATAAAACGGGATTAAGCCAGATTGAGCGGGATGAAGCGGGATTGAGCCGGATTTCGGACCAAGGCAAAATCAGAATTTGACCTCCCAAGAGCTGCATCCGAATCTGCTGAGTCGATGGGAGCCGGGGGTCGGGCTCGGATTTCGCCACACATTCGACGAACTCCGAACCCCACCCCCGCCGCATAGTGAGTTGCCTTAGCAGGGTTCGGATTGCACCGCCGACTCACCCTGGCCATCCCTCGGACGTCCATTCCCTGTGCCTTTTCCGGTTTCCTGCGTGGTCTTTTCGCCAAATGATCAAGGATGCTCCTCGATGGTCCTCGCCGAAGGAAAAAAACCACACGTCCGAGCGATGCCGAGCACCTTTCGAGTGGGCCTCGTCCGACCCCGGTGGCTGTCGGGCCATGGCTCGAGCCTCTGTCATTGGGCGTGGCTTAATGGGGGGGTCATAAATGGGGGGGTCAGAAACGGTCCCCTTTCGTGCCCCTTTCGGGCCCCTCTCGAGCCCCAGAGGGCTCGTTTAGGTACCGTTTGGGTACCTTTTCGAACCACCCTCGCCCCCCCCCCCCATTTATGACCCCCCCATTACGCGGCGCCCAATGTCAGCCCTTCGGGACGACTCCGGCCTGCCCGGCACGCGCGCGGCGAGGCGCAGCCGACGGACGGCATTCCCGAGGCCGGCAGGCCGCCGAGCACCCGCGACAGCGCACGCAGGCGCCAGAGAACCTCGACCCTCCTCTGTGAAGGGGCCCCAGGACACACAAATAAATACACACAAATAAAAAGATTCCCCATATTTTCCCATGTTTTCTGGGTTTTTGTCTTCCCCCCCACTTCCCATATTTTCCCATATTTTCGGGGGAATCGACGATTCATTGTGTCTGTGTGTGTTTTTTTCCTCCTGACTCTGATCCTCGCTCCCCCGCCGCCTGCCGATACAGGGCGTCGATGTCCGCGCCAGAGGCGGCCGTCGACGGCGCGCCGGCGCCGAGCCGGGGCTCAGCCATGCCTCCAGCCGCGCGGGCGCGCGACGCCCGCGCCGCTGGGCGGGGCCCCCGCTCGAGCCAGGGCGACCGTGGGCTCCCATCCGTGCCTCCTCTGCGGAGGCTGCCGGTGGGACTTTTCGAGGTGGCGGTTCGATGTGGGGAGCGTTGGTGATGATCACGAGGATGATGCTGATGATGCTGATGCTGATGCTGATGCTGATGCAGATGCAGATGTTGCGGATGATGATGGTGATGATGCAGCTGAGGGTGCACATGATGATGGAGGTGAGGCTGACGACGCAGATGAACATGAAGCTGAAGGTGGTGGTGATGATGATGCTGCTGATGATGTCGATTGGTATGAAGATGATGGCAATGATGATGCTCGTGGTGGTGATGATGATGAACACGATGATGCTGATGCTGCTGATGCTGATGCTTATGATGATGAGGGTGATGAGGATGAGGATGAGGATGAGGATGACGATGATGATGATAATGAGGAGGAGGAGGAGGAGGAGCTGCTGCGCCTCGAGCGATTGCGGGCTCCTGCAGCGATCCTCACGCACACAACATCATGTGCACGAGACGCGCGCGATGGGATGTCCGGTGACAAGGGCCAGCTCGCACTTCGTTGGTGGCGTCTGCGTTAGGTTGCTCCTGGTGCTGCGCGTGATTGCACACAACGTGGAGCATGCAGACCATGCGAGATTACAGGAGATAAACGCAGCAATGAAGACGACGGATGTGTTGCTTCTCTCCGGGACGGGACACCATGTCGACACCGATTTCGGCAGCTCTCAGCATCGCCTGCCGCATCACCTGGGAAGTGCATTATGCATGTCATTCGGGTGGGGGAAGTCGAAGTGGGTCTGTAAGTCGTGGGGGTGTGCCATTCTGCTCGGGGGTCGGGTCGACAGGTCCATCCAGCAGGTTGCAGCTCCCTCAAAAGCCACAGGAATCCAAGGACGAGTAGGGAAAGTGTTATACTTCGAGCCCATGCCGTATCCGTCTGCTGCTTCACCGTCTACCTCCCCCCTCGAGGAACAACACAGCCCGCAGTCATGGCAACATGTGTATTTAGGTCGGGCCTGTCCCCCTACAGGGGGATTTTGGACGAAAAAAATACTCCAAAAATATTCAAAAGATGCCCAACCATATTCAAAACATAGTCCTCAGACTAGTTTTTACTATTTCTAATGTTTCCCCCTGTAGAGGGACAGGCCCAACTTAAATGTATATCCAAAGTACTGGGGTGGATCGAAGGGGAACTAGATAAGTGCGGGCACCAGACCATGGTGATAATCGGAGGGGACATGACTTGTAAGTTTGGGCTTCGGAGGGACATCACGGGAAGACGGTGCGTGCTCGGGGACGAGGCGGTGGGGTAGTCGAGCCTGGTGAGGAGACAGCTTCTTCCTCAGCTATACGGCGTTTCGCTGAAGATCACCATCTTAGTATTGGCAGTTCTGAATGGCGCACGGGGCCTACCTTCTACAGGAAAGGGCACACGAGCAGAATCGACCACATGTTAATACCGACAATGGCCAAGCAGAGAATACTACAGATGCATACGTTGGTGGGACTCGGGAGGCGTCTTCAGAGAAACCAATCGGTTGAGTTGGACGACCGTGTACTGCTGATGATGGACATGCCGCTCGACAAGCTGCACCCTGGCAAGCCCCTGAACACTCCCGCCGTGGACCGTGATCGACTGATGAAGGCATACCAGCTTGGCCACGAGCGAGAGCAGTTCCGTGTAGCATTGGAGGCGGCTGTTGCCGCCGTGCCTCATGAAGCCTGGTGCGCCATGATTGAGTTGTGGATGCCATGACAATGGCCACTCTAACAGTCCTATCATTGAATTAAACATGTGTTTAAACTGTGTAAAACAGGTTCTAAAAATGTGACAAACCTCGTTTTACATAATTAAAACATGCTTGAAACATGCTTTAGACATCTGGGAATTATTTGGCAGCATGCTTCCTCTCCATTAATCGACTGCCACAATGATTGAGGATAACGACGTCCAAGCGTGCTGGGACCACCTTTCGAGCAGCATCCGGGAGGCTACAGTGTCTGCGTTCCCTCGCAGCGAGCAGGAGGTCATCTGCATGCCACGAGCTGCGGGAAGCCAGGCCGAAGTTGGTGCGACGTCGCGCCGAACCTCGTGGAGAGCTACCGCACTCCGACTTTGAAAGCACTCGTCTCGAGCTCACCTTGACCACCCGCAGACTGCAACGCCTCCGGCGTCGGCAACGTCGCGAGGGGGATGAACAATCTACTGGGGAAATGCGGGGAGCCTGGCGACGCCGGAAGTTTGCTGAGCTTCACCGTCTTCGTGTGCAGCTGGGGGGGACTGGGCGTGGACCAAAGAAGAGATCTGTGTTTGGCCACCGCCCAGGGCTCACTTGTGCTGACTGGGAGGCGGGTCTTGGAGCAGCCGCTGGGGAGGGCGGGATGTTGTGCACGAGAATCGATTGGAGCCAATGGAACAGCCGTCATATCGATCGCACGTGGGGAATGCCCGTAGAGGATGCGAAGCGGCAGGCATTGAAGGACAGAGCTGGTCAGCTACGTTACCTCCGGAGGCACCCAAAGCGCCGTGCAGGTCCAGCGTGGGGAGTGCTAGCTGAGGTCCTCGCTTTGGCGATCGATGCCGGCAAGTGGCGGAGCGCCTCCGACCCCATCGGCTCCGACCCCATCTTCTTGGACGCCCGAAGTGGGTGCGGAAAAAAGAGTACGATGCCCGACAACAGATGTTGTCCAAAACCGACAGCGGCCGCTGTTGGGCAGGCGGCCTTCTGTCTCGAATGGACACGGCTCGCG